GAGATTTGGAGGACTTACCCGGGGGCCGTTGGCGCCCACAGCCCCGGCCTCACCAGCCAATCCCTGCACAAGACAAGGAGAGTTATTATGAACATCCATCAGAATCTACAGTATATGTGACGTACCTCAGAACCAGGCTTCCCTGACTCTCCCGGGGGGCCTGCGGGACCTGGCAAACCCTAAACAAGTCAATCGTGATGAGATGGTGGACATAACTTTAGTGATAAAACAACATTAGTAGAAGCCCATTCAATACAATACAATTTATTCTTGTATTTCCCTAAATCACAACAGTATCATCTCAGAGACTTAACAAAACCACTGAAATCACCAACACAGGTCAGAGAATCAACAGTTAAAACACATAAAGAATATAGAACACATGTTGATAAATGTCATACATGTAGAATGTTAAAGTGTTGTGGATCACCACAGTCCTTCTAGTTGGACACTAACTGTCCAACAGACTCTCCTGCATCAGAGGAAAAACTCATAAGAAAACCCAGTGGGGAAAAGTGAGAAACCTCAGGGAGACCCATGGTTTGAGAAAGGGATCCGCTCCCACAGACGGACGGGCTGTAGATCCAGGACTCAGACTGTAGAACGAGGACTGAGGCTGTAGATCCAGGACCTAAGCTACGGAACGTGGACCAGCGGCCGCTGAACGTGGACAGGTCCGGTGCAGGACTGAGTCTCTTCAGTCTTGGATCTACAGCAGATATTGGGGGATCTGAGAAACCTTGTTCCCAGCTGATCCCGGGGGTCTCAGGACAGTTATTCACATTTATAGAGAGTGTTCATCCCGTTCCCTGTGGCTCCTTTGTGTCAGTTATTATTGTATGTCGTGTGTTTCATTCTCTAATCTGTTGTTGGCGAATTGAAAACTTTGTAAAGTCGTAAAGGATGACTTCTGTTGTGTTTTTGGGATTTTCACACAAAAATGAAATTCAAGTAGAATACTAATAATGAAAAGGAGAATATATGAACCTGAAAGCCGTTGAGTCCTTGTGGTCCTTGCTCTCCTCTCTTTCCTGCGGAGCCCTGAAAGAGAAGACTCACTGTGATCATGTTCTTCTGCGCTCAAACGGACACGATGAAGACGAGGCTCACCGCGGGACCAGTGGGACCTGCTGCTCCGGTCTCTCCGTCTTTACCGTTCACGCCCTAAAACACATGTCACAAGTCAGACAAGAGACGGGGCCTTCTCTATGGTCTGAAACCCAGAGCACAGGGCCTTCTCTGTGGTCTGAAACCCAGAGCACAGGGCCTTCTCTGTGGTCTGAAACCCAGAGCACAGGGCCTTCTCTGTGGTCTGAAACCCAGAGCACAGGGCCTTCTCTGGGGCCTTCTCTGTGGAGCACAGGGCCTTCTCTGTGGTCTGAAACCCAGAGCACAGGGCCTTCTCTGTGGTCTGAAACCCAGAGCACAGGGCCTTCTCTGTGGTCTGAAACCCAGAGCACAGTGCCTTCTCTGTGGTCTGAAACCCAGAGCACAGGGCCTTCTCTGTGGTCTGAAACCCAGAGCACAGGGCCTTCTCTGTGGAGCACAGGGCCTTCTCTGTGGTCTTAAACCCAGAGCACAGGGCCTTCTCTGTGGTCTTTTTGGTCTGGTCTTATTTATTTGGAATCAATTTCCCTCTCTCACTATTTATTTAGGGTTAGCGTTAATGCCCTAAAACGCTAATCCTAAACCCTAATTTAGTTTTGTGTCTTGCAGCACTTTGAAAACTGTGTGTTTATGAAATGTGCTATATAAATAAAGTAGAAGCCCATGTACCCTTGTTCCCGGGGGTCCAGCACTTCCAGCCTCTCCAGCTTTACCAGCGTCGCCCTGAAACAACAACTGTTTATACAAATCTGTTTCTGTTCATGTGTCTCCTTTATGAAGATAAACATGGCTACTCACCGCGAGTCCCTTTGGTCCGGGCAGACCCATTGGACCGGTGCCTCCTCTCGTACCTGTGGATCCCGCTGGGCCTTGTTTCCCATCGTCTCCCACTGAACCCTGGGAAACAGAATATGTCATGGTGATTTAAACCAGAGACAGTGAAGTAGAAGCCATTTTCTTAAAGTCATCTGTCTACACACCACTGGACCTTGCTTTCCCTCTGATCCCTGGGCACCGATCAGTCCTGACAGACCCTGGAATCACATACAACACAAGCAACAAGCAAAATATGTTATTCAGAATAGAGACTTTGAAAATGCATCTTGTTAAAGTCAAAAACATATGTATTAATGCTATAATGGGTAAAGAGAAAAGATATTCTCAGCATTGATAACTACTTTGGTTTTATAAGGCTAAATGTCTGTGAGGATTGGCGATAGCACAGGTCTATGAGGGAACTATGGTGTTATTTTCCCATGATCTGTGTCTTTTGAATTCTACACAGAAGCAAACTGACCCGAGCTCCTGTTAGACCTGGCTCTCCGTTGCGTCCCGGGTCTCCTTCAAGTCCTTTAGCCCCGAGAGATCCAGGCAGGCCTCGCTCGCCCTGCGCTCCCTGTGGCACAGACAACAGTAAGAACCAACTCCACAGAATCCAAATGAAGTGAGAGGTGGACTCGGCTCTGACCTTGGGCCCGGGAAGACCGTCAGCACCGGGGAAGCCTCGGTTTCCAGGGGTCCCCTAAAAACACATCACTTACTCACACGGGACATTGTGGTTCTAAAAGTTATACATCTCAACTGAGCCATCTGTTCTGGCTCAGCTTTTATATTCTGTTCTGTGGTTCTGTGGTTGACTCACCGTTTCTCCTGGAGGTCCTGGGTTGCCGATGGCCCCGGCGTCTCCTCTGGGGCCCCTCTTGCCCTCATCTCCCATGGGCCCCAGTGCACCCGGTGTTCCATGGTCTCCCTGTGAAAGTAATAACAAATGATGAATATAAATGTGTTTAAATAATGTTTGTGATGTGTAGAAGCATTACTTACATGTTCACCTTTAAGACCAGGCTCTCCCTTCAGCCCCAGAACTCCAGCATCTCCCTGTCACACACAACAACAAATATATACAGGACAGTGAGAGAATAGCATGACCCCAGACAGACACACACACACACACACACACAGATGTGAATCTACAGTCATGTGTAATCTCTCACCAGTTGTCCTTTCTGTCCATCCAGTCCAGTGGTCCCCTGGGGGCCGGGGGTACCAGGGGGCCCCAGCAGACCAGGAGGACCCTCCAGTCCTGCAGCTCCCTAAGAGGAAAGAGAAGGCCCCTACAGTCAGTCCTGCTGTGAGAAGTGTGAGCTGATAACGTGAGACTTACAGCTTGTCCTCGAGACCCGGCGGCTCCATCGGGGCCCTCCGCTCCCTGTTCATAGAACAATGTGCTCATGTATTTGCTACAGAATGGTTTTAGGACTGCACCAAATACCTGTTTTCCTGATGGCCCTGGGGGTCCAGCTTTGCCAGCGTCTCCACGTGGTCCCTGTGGTCCTCCTGTGCCTCTCACTCCAGTGGGTCCAGCCTCGCCCTAAAAATCACAATAAATGCATAGTTTACTGTTGGGAAATATCGTATCGTAATGAGCCTATGAATCGTATCGTAATGAGCCTATGTATCATATCGTAATGAGCCTATGTATTGTATCGTAATGAGCCTATGTATCGTATCGTAATGAGCCTATGTATCGTATCGTAATGAGCCTATGTATCGTATCGTAATGAGCCTATGTATCGTATCGTAATGAGCCTATGTATCGTATCGTAATGAGCCTATGTATCGTATCGTAATGAGCCTATGTATCGTATCGTAATGAGCCTATGTATCGTATCGTAATGAGCCTATGTATCGTATCGTAATGAGCCTATGTATTGTATCGTAATGAGCCTATGTATCGTATCGTAATGAGCCTATGTATCGTATTGTAATGAGCCTATGTATCGTATCGTAATGAGCCTATGTATCGTATCGTAATGAGCCTATGTATCGTATTGTAATGAGCCTATGTATCGTATCGTAATGAGCCTATGTATCGTATTGTAATGAGCCTATGTATCGTATCGTAATGAGCCTATGTATCGTATCGTAATGAGCCTATGTATTGTAATGAGCCTATGTATCGTATCGTAATGAGCCTATGTATCGTATCGGTTCAAAGGCAATGGACCCAACACAACCCACATCACCTGCATCAGAGAACCAGCATTTACCCTGTACCTCTGTACCCCTGTACCTCTGTACCTCTGTACCTCTGTACCTCTGTACCTCTGTACCCCTGTACCCCTGTACCTCTGTACCTCTGTACCTCTGTACCCCTGTACCCCTGTACCCCTGTACCTCTGTACCTCTGTACCTCTGTACCCCTGTACCTCTGTACCTCTGTACCTCTGTACCCCTGTACCCCTGTACCCCTGTACCTCTGTACCTCTGTACCCCTGTACCTCTGTACCTCTGTACCTCTGTACCCCTGTACCTCTGTACCCCTGTACCCCTGTACCTCTGTACCTCTGTACCCCTGTACCCCTGTACCTCTGTACCTCTGTACCTCTGTACCCCTGTACCTCTGTACCCCTGTACCTCTGTACCCCTGTACCCCTGTACCTCTGTACCTCTGTACCTCTGTACCCCTGTACCTCTGTACCTCTGTACCCCTGTACCCCTGTACCTCTGTACCCCTGTACCTCTGTACCTCTGTACCCCTGTACCCCTGTACCTCTGTACCTCTGTACCTCTGTACCCCTGTACCCCTGTACCCCTGTACCTCTGTACCCCTGTACCCCTGTACCTCTGTACCTCTGTACCTCTGTACCCCTGTACCTCTGTACCCCTGTACCCCTGTACCTCTGTACCTCTGTACCCCTGTACCCCTGTACCTCTGTACCTCTGTACCTCTGTACCCCTGTACCTCTGTACCCCTGTACCTCTGTACCCCTGTACCCCTGTACCTCTGTACCTCTGTACCTCTGTACCCCTGTACCTCTGTACCTCTGTACCCCTGTACCCCTGTACCTCTGTACCCCTGTACCTCTGTACCTCTGTACCCCTGTACCCCTGTACCTCTGTACCTCTGTACCTCTGTACCCCTGTACCCCTGTACCCCTGTACCTCTGTACCTCTGTACCCCTGTACCCCTGTACCTCTGTACCTCTGTACCCCTGTACCTCTGTACCTCTGTACCTCTGTACCTCTGTACCTCTGTACCCCTGTACCCCTGTACCTCTGTACCTCTGTACCTCTGTACCTCTGTACCCCTGTACCCCTGTACCTCTGTACCTCTGTACCTCTGTACCTCTGTACCTCTGTACCCCTGTACCCCTGTACCCCTGTACCCCTGTACCTCTGTACCTCTGTACCCCTGTACCCCTGTACCCCTGTACCTCTGTACCTCTGTACCTCTGTACCCCTGTACCTCTGTACCTCTGTACCTCTGTACCTCTGTACCCCTGTACCTCTGTACCCCTGTAAGTAAGTAAGCTAGTAAGTAAGCTTTTATTTATATACCGCCTTTTCACTGCACATCGGAGTCTCAAAGCGGTTTACAATTGTTATTTTTCTGTACCCCTCTGTACCCCTGTACCTCTGTACCTCTGTACCCCTGTACCCCTGTACCTCTGTACCTCTGTACCTCTGTACCTCTGTACCTCTGTACCCCTGTACCCCTGTACCCCTGTACCTCTGTACCTCTGTACCCCTGTACCCCTGTACCCCTGTACCCCTGTACCTCTGTACCTCTGTACATCTGTACCTCTGTACCTCTGTACCCCTGTACCTCTGTACCTCTGTTGTAATGTTTGTGAAGAGAAACCCTCAGAGGGCAGTCATAGCACCAGCCCCTCACTGATCCTCCTGCAGGTGCTGAGTCCACAGGAGCTGAGATCTTTCAGTGGGGGCTTCAGGCAAAGTGGGGTTAAGTGTCTTGCCCAAGAACACAACATCAGCAGACATCAGTGGGAGTCATGAAGTAGGTCTTATGGTGGGCTCGAACCCACGACCTTCAGGCTCAATGCTCTACCAACTGAGCCACTGTGGTGAGTTCCACTTGATCCATAAAAACCAAACCATAACAATAGTTTCCAGGCCCAGAGATGGAACGACACAAACTCACCTTCATTCCAGGATTTCCAGGAAATCCAGGGATTCCAGGAATTCCAATGGGACCCTAAAGTCAGCACAGATTCAGGTCAGTGACTATAACCACTGTTTATGGTACTTCTGGTACTTCTGGTACCGACTGGAACCTTCACAGAGAGTTCTTACCAGAGGACCAGGTTTGCCAACGTCACCAGAAGTGCCTCGTTTGCCCTGAGAAAAAACATGTTGTGTTACTGACACCATGAAGAGCTGCAGTTGTGTACTGCTGTGTACAGTTGTATACAGTTGTATACAGTTGTGTACAGTTGTGTACTGCTGTGTACAGTTGTATACAGTTGTATACAGTTGTGTACTGCTGTGTACAGTTGTATACAGTTGTGTACAGTTGTGTACTGCTGTGTACAGTTGTATACAGTTGTGTACTGCTGTGTACAGTCGTGTACGTTGTATATGCTGTGTACAGTCGTGTACAGTTGTATACAGTTGTATACAGTTGTGTACAGTTGTATACAGTTGTGTACAGTTGTATACAGTTGTGTACAGTTGTGTACAGTTGTGTACAGTTGTGTACAGTTGTGTACAGTTGTGTACTGCTGTGTACAGTCGTGTACAGTTGTATACAGTTGTGTACAGTCGTGTACAGTTGTATACAGTTGTGTACAGTTGTATACAGTTGTGTACAGTCGTGTACAGTTGTATACAGTTGTGTACAGTTGTATAAAAGTGTGTGTCTCACCACTGGTCCTGTGGGTCCAGCTCGGCCTCTCTCGCCCTGCATTCCCGCTGGGCCCTGACGCACAACGCACAAAACTATCACTACACAATTATTTTGTGTTAAACTTTATATAAACATGCGGTCCTCACCTGAGGCCCCTGGGGGCCCATCTGACCGGGGGTCCCAGACGTGCCCTGCAAACACAACGGAACATGCTTATCTGGCAACCCCAGGAACAGTACTGGTGGATTACAACTCATTTCAATACCAACAACACTTAATAAGTTTTGTTTCTGGATTCTCATTTATTAAATTATATTACTTTTTGAAACGTGTCACTTTGACGTTCGTCGCAGCGCTCTGCCGGGGTCTAAGCGCTCTGCCGGGGTCTAAGCGCTCTGCCGGGGTCTAAGCGCTCTGCCGGGGTCTAAGCGCTCTGCCGGGGTCTAAGCGCTCTGCCGGGGTCTAAGCGCTCTGCCGGGGTCTAAGCGCTCTGCCGGGGTCTAAGCGCTCTGCCGGGGTCTAAGCGCTCTGCCGGGGTCTAAGCGCTCTGCCGGGGTCTAAGCGCCAAATCCATCACCAGATTTATGTACAGCAGCAATAAATGTGATTCTTGCTGGTCACTATGGCAACCAATCAATACTATTCTAACAACCTGCTTCTGTCGGTTCCAGTCTCTCCAGAGTCTTTACCTTGAGTCCGACAGCTCCGGTCTCGCCCTTCGGTCCGAGCAAACCCGCATGGCCCTGGACCCAAAAACCTATGTGTTATTTACTTTATTCAGGAGCAGAACCGGATCAGAACCTCAATGATCCATGTGTGTATGACCTTGTGTCCTTTGAGACCAGGAAGTCCGGGCAGACCTGGGAACCCTCTCGCCCCCTAAACACAAACATCACAATCGGGTCGTTCAGACGGTTTCTTTAATGTTTCTTACTTTTTAGGCGACGGTAAAAATCAAACGTCATGAATCTTACCACAGAGCCCGGGGATCCTGGCTCTCCGGTCGCACCCGCGGCTCCAGATTCTCCCTGAAAGTATAAAAGAAAATTGTACTGCATTATACACAAAGATTAAAGGAATATAGGAGGATGTTCTACTTTCGGGTGGAGCATCAAGACTATTGGTCCTCCCAGCTGTCAATCATTCTGCTGATACGTGTCAATGAGACCAGACAGTTTGCTCAAAGCGGTTCTTCCTCTATTTCATATTTTCAGATAAATGGGTGGGATTGTGTAAAACTATCATTACAGTTTGAGTTCATCACCACTGAGTTAACTTTAGTAAATTGGAAGAACAAGGAGAGACATTACAAATCTAAAGAGCACACAATTAGAATGGTGTTATAGTGTAATTATCATTTACTGACAACGACATGGGAGTGTCTCTTACATCAGGACCTGGTCTTCCTGGTGGTCCATCTGGTCCTCTGTGTCCTGGTTCACCCTGGTGTCCAAAACAACGACAATATCAAAGTTATTATTATCATTATTATTGTTATTTCAAACACAGCGTTGTCATCACCATTGGGCCTGGCTCTCCGGCGTCTCCTGGGATGCCCTGTCCTCCGTGTGGCCCCTGAGACAGAACATGAGTTAAACCTGCCATGGTCGGTGTGTTTGTTATGAGGGGTCGTACTCACAGGTGCACCGGGCTGTCCAGGGGGGCCTCGGGGTCCAGCTTCCCCCTGGAACATGTGCAATAACACTGTGAGTAATGTCAGAATGAGCAATAACACTGTGAGTAATGTCAGAATGTGCAATAACACTGTGAGTAATGTCAGAATGTGCAATAACACTGTGAGTAATGTCAGAATGATCAATAACACTGTGAGTAATGTCAGAATGATCAATAACACTGTAAGTAATGTCAGAATGTGCAATAACACTGTGAGTAATGTCAGAATGAGCAATAACACTGTGAGTAATGTCAGAATGATCAATAACACTGTGAGTAATGTCAGAATGAGCAATAACACTGTGAGTAATGTCAAAATGTGCAATAACACTGTGAGTAATGTCAGAATGTGCAATAACACTGTGAGTAATGTCAGAATGATCAATAACACTGTAAGTAATGTCAGAATGTGCAATAACACTGTGAGTAATGTCAGAATGAGCAATAACACTGTGAGTAATGTCAGAATGTACAATAACACTGTGAGTAATGTCAGAATGAGCAATAACACTGTGAGTAATGTCAGAATGTGTCAGAATGTGCAATAACACTGTGAGTAATGTCAGAATGAGCAATAACACTGTGAGTAATGTCAGAATGTGCAATAACACTGTGAGTAATGTCAGAATGTGCAATAACACTGTAAGTAATGTCAGAATGTGCAATAACACTGTGAGTAATGTCAGAATGTGCAATAACACTGTGAGTAATGTCAGAATGAGCAATAACACTGTGAGTAATGTCAGAATGTGCAATAACACTGTGAGTAATGTCAGAATGAGCAATAACACTGTGAGTAATGTCAGAATGTGCAATAACACTGTGAGTAATGTCAGAATGTGCAATAACACTGTGAGTAATGTCAGAATGTGCAATAACACTGTGAGTAATGTCAGAATGTGCAATAACACTGTGAGTAATGTCAGAATGTGCAATAACACTGTGAGTAATGTCAGAATGTGCAATAACACTGTGAGTAATGTCAGAATGTGCAATAGAACCACATGTGTCTTTGCTTCTCATGCTGCTAACATGTACAGATGTAAACATACTGCTGCTAACATGTACAGATGTAAATGTACTGTTGCTAACATGTACAGATGTAAACATACTGTTGCTAACATGTACAGATGTAAACATACTGCTGCTAACATGTACAGATGTAAATATACTGCTGCTAACATGTACAGATGTAAACATACTGCTGCTAACATGTACAGATGTAAACATACAGCTGCTAACATGTACAGATGTAAACATACTGCTGCTAACATGTACAGATGTAAACATACTGCTGCTAACATGTACAGATGTAAACATACAGCTGCTAACATGTACAGATGTAAACATACTGCTGCTAACATGTACAGATGTAAACATACTGCTGCTAACATGTACAGATGTAAACATACTGCTGCTAACATGTACAGATGTAAACATACTGTTGCTAACATGTACAGATGTAAACATACTGCTGCTAACATGTACAGATGTAAACATACTGCTGCTAACATGTACAGATGTAAACATACTGCTGCTAACATGTACAGATGTAAACATACTGCTGCTAACATGTACAGATGTAAACATACAGCTGCTAACATGTACAGATGTAAATATACTGCTGCTAACATGTACAGATGTAAACATACTGCTGCTAACATGTACAGATGTAAACATACTGCTGCTAACATGTACAGATGTAAACATACTGTTGCTAACATGTACAGATGTAAATATACTGCTGCTAACATGTACAGATGTAAACATACTGCTGCTAACATGTACAGATGTAAACATACTGTTGCTAACATGTACAGATGTAAACATACTGCTGCTAACATGTACAGATGTAAATATACTGCTGCTAACATGTACAGATGTAAACATACTGCTGCTAACATGTACAGATGTAAACATACAGCTGCTAACATGTACAGATGTAAACATACTGTTGCTAACATGTACAGATGTAAACATACTGCTGCTAACATGTACAGATGTAAATATACTGCTGCTAACATGTACAGATGTAAACATACTGCTGCTAACATGTACAGATGTAAACATACAGCTGCTAACATGTACAGATGTAAACATACTGCTGCTAACATGTACAGATGTAAATATACTGCTGCTAACATGTACAGATGTAAACATACTGCTGCTAACATGTACAGATGTAAACATACTGCTGCTAACATGTACAGATGTAAACATACTGTTGCTAACATGTACAGATGTAAACATACTGCTGCTAACATGTACAGATGTAAATATACTGCTGCTAACATGTACAGATGTAAACATACTGCTGCTAACATGTACAGATGTAAACATACAGCTGCTAACATGTACAGATGTAAACATACTGTTGCTAACATGTACAGATGTAAACATACTGCTGCTAACATGTACAGATTTAAACATACAGCTGCTAACATGTACAGATGTAAACATACTGCTGCTAATGTACAGATGTAAACATACTGCTGCTAATGTACAGATGTAAACATACTGCTGCTAACATGTACAGATGTAAACATACTGCTGCTAACATGTACAGATGTAAACATACTGCTGCTAACATGCAGATGTAAACATGTACAGATGTAAACATACTGTTGCTATACTAACATGTACAGATGTAAACATGCTAATGTACAGATGTAAACATACTGCTGCTAATGTACATGATACAGATATGCTAACATACTGCTGCTAACATGTACAGATGCTAACATACTGCTGCTAACATGTACAGATGCTAACATACTGCTGCTAACATGTACAGATGCTAACATGTACAGATGCTAACATACTGCTGCTAACATGTACAGATGCTAACATACTGCTGCTAACATGTACAGATGCTAACATACTGCTGCTAACATGTACAGATGCTAACATGTACAGATGCTAACATACTGCTGCTAACATGTACAGATGCTAACATACTGCTGCTAACATGTACAGATGCTAACATGTACAGATGCTAACATACTGCTGCTAACATGTACAGATGCTAACATACTGCTGCTAACATGTACAGATGCTAACATGTACAGATGCTAACATACTGCTGCTAACATGTACAGATGCTAACATACTGCTGCTAACATGTACAGATGCTAACATACTGCTGCTAACATGTACAGATGCTAACATGTACAGATGCTAACATACTGCTGCTAACATGTACAGATGCTAACATACTGCTGCTAACATGTACAGATGCTAACATACTGCTGCTAACATGTACAGATGCTAACATACTGCTGCTAACATGTACAGATGCTAACATACTGCTGCTAACATGTACAGATGCTAACATACTGCTGCTAACATGTACAGATGCTAACATGTACAGATGCTAACATACTGCTGCTAACATGTACAGATGCTAACATACTGCTGCTAACATGTACAGATGCTAACATACTGCTGCTAACATGTACAGATGCTAACATACAGCTGCTAACATGTACAGATGCTAACATACTGCTGCTAACATGTACAGATGCTAACATACTGCTGCTAACATGTACAGATGCTAACATACTGCTGCTAACATGTACAGATGCTAACATACTGCTGCTAACATGTACAGATGCTAACATACTGCTGCTAACATGTACAGATGCTAACATACTGCTGCTAACATGTACAGATGCTAACAGTACAGCTGCTAACATGTACAGATGCTAACATACTGCTGCTAACATGTACAGATGCTAACATACTGCTGCTAACATGTACAGATGCTAACATACTGCTGCTAACATGTACAGATGCTAACATACTGCTGCTAACATGTACAGATGCTAACATGTACAGATGCTAACATACTGCTGCTAACATGTACAGATGCTAACATGTACAGATGCTAACATACTGCTGCTAACATGTACAGATGCTAACATACTGCTGCTAACATGTACAGATGCTAACATACTGCTGCTAACATGTACAGATGCTAACATACTGCTGCTAACATGTACAGATGCTAA